ATTCATGTCAGGAAATAACCATGAAATTTTTTGAAGAACAACCTAAATCGCGCAAATTTTGTCACAACAGATCTTCTGAATGGAAAGCTTTTCGAAACCCTTCAGTAATTTTCTACTTTGATGGTACAACAGCATAAATATCTGAAATATTGACTTCATTTTGTCAGGCATGAATACGTATTGAGACACTTTCTGATTACAAAACTTGATTAAGCAACCGTTGTAAGCAAAAATCCTGTCTACCGACAGTGACACAAAAGTCTCAGGTTTGTTATTGGGCACTGACGAATAGTATAGTAGCGAAAACAGCAACAAAAAAGCGAATTTACTTTCTGAACAACTATTTTCTTTCCCACAGCTTAACAATTTTCTGCCTCACAAAAAAGAGTTCCGCCTAGAAATATATCGAGAAACAACTGACTGACCAAAACAGGTAAACACCTATACGGGGTGTTTCAAATTCGATCCTAACCATTTTCTGTTTTGAATAGAACCAGATTTTACCTTTTTAATGATGTATCATAAGTTATCAATCATTCTATTTCGAGAAATTGGAGATATTGAAAATAATTAATTCTTATCATAATTGGCTTTGACTTTGACATTTCCAAATTTGACTTTTAATTTGTCACACTCAATGACTTTTTGTTAATGTACAAGTAATTGAATTTTTGGCGAAAAATGGCTTTCATGAATGAAGAAAAAAGAGATTTGATACGAATTTATTGAAATACGATAGGGCATCGGAAATATAATGGAACTTGTTTCCCGAAAGACGACAACCACATCGAACTAAGTTCAAGTTATTGGATCGAAATCTCAGCGAGTTTGGTTCATTTGAAGGTTCATTTGAAGGTAAAATTTGGTTCTATTCAAAACAGAAAAAATCCAATGTAGCGCCCCATAAGAAAAAATAAATTTGATGATGGTGACCGGAAAACGAAACGTCGGATAGCAAATCTGAAAACACTATTATGTAGCAGGGAAATAGTGGCAATGTGGAAGTGCAATTTATTTTCGAATCCTTCGAAAAATAAAGCCAGAAAAAAATAAAAACCATTTTCCGAAATTTCTGTTTTTTCCGGATATCTCCTTATATACTCGGAATTTCTGAACTTTCTCAACGGCATATTGTTAGTCAGTTAAATGCGCAACTTTGTGCCGATTCAACCATCTTGGTATCTCTCATAGTTTCCGAGATCCCAATGCTGAGGATTGAATTTGAAACACCTTGTATATACAAAGCAACCAATTTCAATTCAAAGGGAAGTTATGGAAAGGATTAATAGCCACATATTTTATCATTTTATGACGCTCTCAAAACAATAAATTTTGTGGATTACAATGTGAAACGTCAAATATACCTAACCTGAACATTTTGTATTATTTATTTTGTTTTTATTCAATGGAGAAATTTCCACTAGCCTAGCTATAAGGAATATGCCAGTTATGATCGAAATTTTTATAGTTGTCTTGACAATGACACTAAAATACACCAAACATTTTTTTTTGTCATGAGAAAACTTGCGATAGACCGTATTATAATGACGTTTCCAGTATAACTCTCTTGGGGACAAGACGTCCCAATTTCGACAATATATTAATTTGAAATAGCCTGAAAGATATTTATGTTTTGGAAAGTATATACGAGACATGATGACATTTCTTGTTTCTGTTAAAATCTGTTTTTTCGTTAACCAGCTTTCGCCATCCTATGAACGACAACCCTCAAAAGTCGAAACTTGTCCGAGCTAAGGACTAACGAGATCTCACCTGTGATTCCTGACACGGGTTGGACGAAGTGAAAATCGATCGTTCGGCCTTGCGGTTCGAACCACCAGTTCACACAGCGATGAATTGAGTGAGTGAAGCAAAACAACCACATTAACCCACCAGGCTACCGTCCTATCGGAATAACAGTATAATAACATCATTTAAAATATATATGAAAGGAAAAAATTTTTAGGGAATGCATGTACTTGATAAAAACTTAATTGAAACTCGGATGGAAGTGTCCACAGCATGAAATATCAGATCAGATCAGATAAGAGGGTATAAAATACATTGAAAGGGGTACATTTTCAGAAGATATTATTTTTTGGGAAAGAGAGTATTTGGCTTTCTATTACTCTATCTTGATACGAGAAAATGTGGAAATATTCGGAAGGAAGCAACTTATTTCAAAAAAATTTACTCTGTACAAAGATGTGTAAAGAAGCAACTTTCAGAGACAAACTGCAAGAAAATCCCTCTCGAAACAGCTACTTACATATAATTAACGGGTGATTTTTTAAGAGGTATGGCATTTGATTTTCCAAACAACACAAAAAATTTTTGAAAATTGATGAAATCTTTATTGGAATCGATAGAACGATCAATATAATTTAATATTTGAAGATGATTTCATGCAAATGCTGTCCGCGGCTGCGCTTTAGATGGCCTATGCGCAAGGTCCAATTTTGGCACACTCTCTCTAACACATCGACCGGTATTTCAGGTATAAATGCTTCAATATTGGCTTCCAGAGCGTCATATGTTGCTGGTTTATCCCTGTAGATATGAGCTTCAACATGACCCCACAAGAAATAATCCAAAGGAGTTAAATCACACGATCTAGGCGGCCAATTGACGGGCTCCAAACGTGAGATAAATTGTTCACCGAAGGCGACTCTTAACTGGGCCATTGTTTCGCGCCGTGTGGCATGTGGCAGCGACTTGTTGAAAACACATCTCGAGCATGTCTAATTCTACCATTACGGGCAACAAAAAGTCGTCAATCATCACACGGTAGCGCTCGCCATTCACAGTTTCGGTCATTGTCGTCTTTGAAGAAGTACGGCCCGATGATGCCAAAAAAAAATATTGTCTCCTAGAAATATACCTTTTTTCATTCAAACAAGATTCAATCAAGTAAGCAAATCAGAGTCATTACGTACTATTATCGTTGACATAAGTAGATTGAAGTCATAATTTTATGAATCTTCATCTCATGATTTTATCCAGATTTGGTGCTGAAGAGGCCAAAAGGCCGAAATATCGGATGTCAACCGCGATGCCAAGAGTGACAGATGATATTTTTCATTCAATTGATAATAACCAACTTTGTGTTTTAGTCTTATTGGATTACTCCAAGGCGTTTGATAGGGTGAAACATCAATTATTAATTTCTTTACCTCATTATATTGGACTCGCTAACAACTCCGTAAGCCTTATAGCGAATTACTTGTCATACCGGTTTCAAGTTGTGAAGATAGATACTGAGACTTCATTACCAACTCCAGTCAATACAGGGGTCTCACAAGGATTTATACTGGGACCGCTACTTTTCACGGTCTATACGTCACAGTTTCATAAGTATATATCATATTGTAAAATTCATTTTTTACGCTGATGACACCCAATTATACCAGAAATTTTCTGAGACTGATACGCAATATGCATGTGGAAAGATAAATGAGGACCTCCAGAGATTCCACGAAATTTCAAAAAAATATTGTCTTGGCATTAACCCTATAGAATTCAAGGCCATGCTATTTGGAAAAATATCGGCACGAACTTGGATCTCGGGTCAAATCTCGCTGCAAATTGATGGAAACCCACTACTGTTTAGCGATTTAAGACCGAGATATGAGATTTAATAAACACATCTCTAAATTTGAATTGAAGGGGTTATATTTTTAGGAGTGATTAATTTTTTTTGGGAAAGAAAGTTTTTGGCTTTCTACTACTCCATCTGATACACAACAAATGTTTGAAATACAAACTGAGTAGAGAAAAGTATCTTCTGTATAATTCAGTGTTCATATAGAAGTATCCCATCAAGCATTATTATNTTATCAAAACTATGTGTTAGAATTAATTTGTAGGTTGAGTGGAAGAGCGCTGATTCTCAACTCCTACTGAGAAAGCACGAACTCTGCTTTTTGACAAACATGTATATTTGTGATTTTCCGGCAAAAAAATCGATCATTATATAAGTATATTATTATTATAACTACACCGGAAACGATTTAACCTTTACAAACTTTATTTTCAAAAATATTACGTCATGTTTCGCTATCACAGTAGCTTTTTCGTGGTGAATAACATACTAAAAATTCTTTCGTGCAATTCGATGTTTATATGAAAGTAGTCGTTTTGAGAGGGCTTTTCTTCCAGTTTTATCTGAAAGCTACTTCTTTGAATGATCAATACATTATTGTATAGAGTTAATATTTTGAAATTGATTGCTTTCCCCTTTCCTTTGGAAGATTCTCACATTTTTTCGTATAACGATGGAGAAGCAGAAAGCCAAAACCTTTTTTTCAACATACATCAATATAAATTGTTTCATAAGAAATCAAAATAATTGATCTCATTGCATTTATTGCATTTCTGGAATGATGTCTCCCATGTGAACTTCAAAAACATTGTTTTGGAATAATAATAGTTTTCATATTGTATACACTTATTTTTTTTTTGTTATGATACAAAAATATGTTTCACCCCTATAATTCAATACCGAAAAAAAATAGAGGTAACATCCCCGAAAATATTCTTTCAGATGACAGTCATGGATACGAAATATATAAGCCGTTTCATAAGAAATCAAAGTACATAGTATTGTTCACATTCCTGGAACTATGTCTCCATAATGTATTTGGAATAAGGATGGATTATTAATAACTCTCCCTTCAAAATATTCAGTTTTCTGTTTGTTACAAAAAGGAAATGAAATATTATGGATCTAAGGTATTCGAATCATCATTAAAAATACAGACTACCGTTGATCAAAAAAATACGTATAATCGTCAGTTCAAAAAATATTCATTATGAGGCATATTTTTTATGGAGTAAATGAGATTACCAAATATTTCAGTCATGAAAAGAATAAATATGACATACATTATGATCATATATACATAATTAATCAAACATTTCTATATCATCCAATCACGCACCAGGTCCACCAGGTATCATAACTCCATTTAGATTTAGAAAAGTATAAAAATCAACTCACAGCAAATCCTCCACAGAAATTTTCATTGTCATTCATATTGGTCGGGGCTAAAGAATTATATCTCCACAAAGAACTTCTGTTCGGAGGCTCCAGCATCATACCATGCCCTGATATGTCATTGAAGTGGAAGGCAAGAAAGGTAAAAAATAAAATTGACTTCATATTTCGGATAAAAAAATCGAAACTCTAGAACACTCTGCATGCACTGTGCTGTTGGGTTTCTATGAATATTAAGACGAATGGATTCATCACCTTTATATATCCATATCACCAACAGTTTTTCCTAGATAAGATTAGAAAATTACCGATTTAGATCAGAGTTCTCAGGACTGGTGATCCTCAGGATCTCATTCTTCATCTAATAAATTATTATGTTGAATGTGAAGTACTACATCAGCTGAAAAGTCTCGGGCCTAACACATAGATGACGCTAGTCTTATTGCATTTACCTTCAAGAAATTTGTGAGTTATTACTTGGCGGTGTCCTTATCTATTAACCTTTCTAGATTTCATACCATTTCTAGAAACATATGGATTCGTTTTCCGATGGCATTTCAGGTTATCCTCCCAAATTTCTGCTCCCGCATTTGTCGGTTGACAACACTGACATAAAAACTTAGCAAGTTATATGTTGAACATGAAAGGTCCTTCAGACTAGGAAAAAATGATTCGACGTTTTCAAACCATTCCTTGGCATGCAACCACCAGTTTCCGAATGTAAACGATACGGAAATTCTGCACTATGCAAGGAAGGGTTGCAAACTCAATTATTTAGAATCCTTGGAAATTTACAAGCATAAACATTGCGGGTGCAACCTGTTCAATGATCAAATCGAATTAATTTACTCTCCGGATTCTAAATTGGCACATCCGCATTGTGAACTGTAAATTCATGTACTCAATCAAGTACCTGAATGGTATATATTGGCGAATGTAATTAATCATTGTTAGTTTATTGTAATAGTTTGAGAATGTCCATATAGGACGAAACTGCAGTAACGTTAGTTACAATTAAAAGTGGTAAAAAACATAGGAATTTTCATTTCTCTTTTCATTAATCCTTTTTAAGGAAAAATCAATGTAGAAAAACATGGCAAGTTTTTTGCGCTGGGCTCAGAATTTTTCAATATTAACAATTATTACTGGTTGTAATTTTTCAAATACCTTCTGTGATGGTTTTAAAAACACTCCAGAAAAATGAAGAAACTATGATTTTGGAGTGTGTGAAAAGTGTGTTTTTGTTAATTAATTGATAACTGAAAATTATAAAATGATAGGGTGTTCAATAATAAAAATGTATACAATAAATCATACTTCCGTTATCATTTAGGTACTCATGATTATATTCATTCATTTTTTATTTACATCATTTATTGCACATTACTCACTGTTGATCCAGTGAAACTTTCGAAATAGCTATAAATAATTATAAAAATGAAAACTATACAGGATGTTTTTTTGAGCGGGCCACTATTAGGATCTCGATGACCTTAAAAGTTAGAAGGTCGGTTGAATCACAAACAAGTTGCCTATCTTAAAGGACAATCAAATGGTGTACAGAAATTAGAATTCCTCAAGATATTTGAAGAAAATTAAAATTGTCGATTTGTGTTTCCTTTGTTCAGGAATAAAAAAACGCAGAAATGATTTCTTTGAACATTTTATACACTTTCACTTGTTGTTTTGAAATGTTTGCAGACTTTTCGTTCGATAATGTCATAAAGCTATATATCTCAAGAAAACTGAGCAATTCCAGACCTCTGTCTGGATTAGTCGCCTGGGAATTTTTTGCAAACAAATACTAGATTTTTCATTTCAAATTCGACATCAGCTCTTGGAACAGTTATAATAAGACGTTTAGTCAACAGATCATTTTTTCACGAAAGCTCATACACAAAAATAGAACACTCCCAAAATATCTTCTTCAGAAAGTAGTTGAGGAGTTGTCAAACTGTATAATATAATCAAAACATGTACAAAATGAAAAAAGCGAGAGTACGGCTCTGTCGAACTCTAAAAACCTGATTGCAGGGCAGGCATAAAATATGTGCTGTGCTGTTTCATCATTTTTCAAACAGAGGCGACACACACTGTCTTCCAACAGTCCAAGTCTCTGCATATGATGATTCAAATGACAGTGACCTGTAAGAAGGCCTGTTAGACATCGTTATTCATCCCTACCGTAGTCCAACATCTGTTTGCTATCTGGCTTCGAAGGGTGAATAAACGACTTGGACTGAGCCAATCCTGGAAGATTCTGCCAGAAGTCCATAAATCTTCTTGCCATCCAGGTATTCAATCTTTGTTTGGCAAAGCGAAAAGCGATGCCAATTACAGGTTTTGGTCCCATGAAGCTGCTTGCAGCACCCTCCTCTGCAAAAAAGTCAGCAGTCTCATTGCCTTCCAGGCCAGTATGGTCAGGAATCCAGACCAGAGACAATCTGTTAAGTCTGCCTATCGAGGAGAGTCGCTTGCAGGAATGGAGTGATGGATACATGTTTCATCCATTGTCACATATAAATGAAAATATTTCGGTTTGGCCAAACACTGCTCAGAATCACAAAGACGTTCTTGGTTTTGGTCAACAGTGAGCTCGCGGGGCACCCAGTTAAAACAGAGCTTTCTCATAATCAAATGCTCATGCAATATGGAGCCAACATGCTCTCTTCATATCTTCACAATGTCAGCTAACTCAGCTGACTTCACATTTCGATCATTCAACACGATTTTGTGTTTTTTTTTATGTTTTCTGGCGTTACTGCTCAATTTGGACATCCACTGCGTTCTGCTTCATCGGGGTCTCTGCGACCACGTTGTAGACATCAAACAAACGTTAAATTATTGTTTCTGATGGAACGGTTTCCTCATAACAATTTCCAAGCCATTGTTTAAACAGTATGATTTCCCATCAACAAGCAGTGTAAAATTAAAACACGAAATTGTTTTTGATCTATTGTTTTGAAAATAACAAATGTAGTGCCACTCTTAGGACAATAACTCACAAACTTATAAGTAGAAAATCATCAAACGTCAATTTCTTTCTTTTAATGGTTGCTACTGACTGAAAAAGCGGTGAAGGTAATAAGACTAGCGCTTTCTTTGTGTCAGCCCATATCGTATATAAAACATGTTACCGAGATATGCATAGATTTTGCTCGATTGGTCTACGTAAATTCTTTCATACAGATTATATTTCTTTCTGATATCGATCTTTTCTCAAAATAGTCTCTTGATCACAATTTCTTCTGTATGTAATATTTTCAGCTCCTCAAAGTTCATGTTCTGTGAGGGCACAAGATCTTTTTTATGGTCTACGATCACTTTTATGGCCAACTATTCTTGATCTCAAAGGCTGGCTAGTTTTACCAATATATTTTTATTGCAGGCACTACAAGGTATACTATGGAAGGACTGCTTCTTTACTTGATGAAAATTAGTAAAACTGTACATGATAATAATTATAAAATTTTCACAAACATCTT